GAATTTACTATCCAGATGTTAACGATATTAGTACTATTTCCAGAAGTGACATAATTTCCAACCTTCCAGAGTCCAAGGAAATGAAGGAACCTACATGTCAGGCTTCATACATTAAATTTAATGTTTCATTTTCTAACTTTAATGTTTAGTAGGTACATGTGTATAATCTAATGTCATAATCGTATATAACTGTTTGTAAATTTTTGTGTCTACCGTGTCTTAATAGAATAAATATATAACAAACATTATTAATAATTATACATTATTATATTTTACCCTGTCTCAATGTGCCCCACCCCTGTCTAAAAGTGCCCCATAGTGGGGCACTTTTAGACAAGTGATTTGTTCTGAAAAAAATTATTTTTTCCATATAAATCCTTAATTTTATTGATTTGTTATTTTATATTAGTTTTGTAACATAATCAGGTATGCATTGCTAGTTAAAATTGATATTATTCTTCCTAAATAACGGAATCACAGGTTTTTGAAAAAAAGTGTCCAAATGTGCCCCACCCTACCCTACTCCAGTTTGATAATACAATGTTAGCTGTCTATGATGTCACCGATCTGGATATACATATTTTGACGTAAAAGCACGTAAATTTGCTCACTTCTACTATAACTGTATTTTTTTACATTACATGGCAAATGACACAAATAATACAATGATGAAAAAAAACTGTGAACAAAGTTTACTTGACTCTAACTGAACAGTTTTGATAAATTGATAAACCCACTCTTGATAAAGAATATAGACAAAAGAATAAGTTACACTGTGTCAAAAAATGACAAATGGGAAATTATTATACTTAGAATGGCATTTTAAATTAAAACAAGCGAAAATAAACATGACCTGCCATTAAAAATCCAGAACTGAATAAAAAAATACCGACTGTTACTAAACACAGATTAATGTATAATATCCAATTATAAATATCATTATTTTTTTCTCTGATAACAAAAAAGTTATGGTGAGCCATTTTTGGGACTCGCCCGGTTCTGGGACTCATGAAAGGCATCTTTTGTGAAACTAATTATAATTTTGGACTTCCGCAATCTACAGGTCTTCACAATTAAGCACTTTCTTAATTTTTAACTTAATAACTTTTCACTTTCTTTTTTATGAAGGTTTTTTAGCACCATCACAAATATCTAATAAATTGGGAGCCGATTACCAAAATTATATGTATGTAAAGCATAATGTAAATAAGTTTGCTTTATTTACATCATACCCTACAGAAAAATTAATGATTAATTAATTAAGGAATAATATCACGAATGTAAGATGTAAATACATATAAAATACTATACTTCCGTAATTAGTTATTTGCCGATTAACAGAAGTCATATACTCAATTACTATTACACTTGAACCCCTCTTATTTCACCTTCGCTTAATTCACATCCTCTCTTATTTCACCACGTTTCCCCCTAGTATTTCACGAAACCGTCCCGCTTAAGTCGCCGCTTGTAAAAGTTTTAGAACTACGTTTGGAAATTGAATTCTCGCATGAATATGTACAATTTTTATTGAAAAAAATTATTGTGTAATACATTTATGGTTAGGTGTGTTTTAAAAATATTTAATCTAAAATATTCATTCAAGTGGAAAATTGAACTTTGTCACGCACGACTGGGTATACTTACATTGATTTTTCGTTCAGTTGGCTCATTTTTCGTTATAACAAGTGCTGTGGTATATCTCTAAATATTTATTTTTGCAGCTAAAACACGAAAAAGTTGAGGTTATGATCGCGACTTAAGAGAGGCTAAATTTCGCGACTTAAGCGAGGTAATGATGCACGGATTTGGCGACTTAAGAGGGGTTCGAGTGTACTATTAATGAGTGAAATGCTCACACCTCTATTATTAGTCATTTTTAAATTAATTTTTAGTTTGTTAATTATTTATACTTGATTATATTTGATTAATATATCAGATATTTCATTGTTTTAATGCAGAACAATAACTTACTAAGTCTATAACCAACTTGTATCATATTTAAGGTTAAATAACTAAAAGGGCAGTTTAGTACCCTGTAGATCAAATACATAAATAATGCTTGTTCATATTATTTTATAACTATTAACAGTGTTTGAATGAATCAAAATATACATATAGTATATCGTGCGTGTACATCAGACATCGGCCAGTTATGAAAAAGAACAAACAGAAGTGAGACAACAGGTAAGAAGCGACCTCATACACATCGAAGGTAGTGAGGGAATAAGACCGGCCCTCTCGCCACGCTACCCTAATCGTTAGAATGAGAAGTGTAGAATTTGTTCTTTTTTCACAACCGGCCGATGTCAGCTGTACACATACGGTATACTAAAAGACCAAAATTAAACTAAAAGGCAAAGATGAATAATCTAAATAGGTATAACCAGTCTCTTGTAAAATTCAGTTACTCAACTTAAGCTATTTCTGCATTAAATCAATGAGCTGCAATCACATACAATTGTATTTTGTACTAGTCATTGCATATTTCAACAAATCAACATTTCACACTTTTCAATCCTAAATTTTACAAGGTAAATTTGCAAGCTTAAATTAATTATAAAAGCTAGTAACCATCCATTTTAATGTACAAACAATTACATACTGCTATTTTCATTAATATTTATAACATACGATAACGATATTGCACATAGTGTCTATGTCAGTTTCCTAGTGCGGTAAAAACCCTTTTCATACAAGGACGGGAAAAACATCATAATGATCTGAAAGGGATCAAGGATCATCAAAAATTCTTTCATTACTTTCAAAAAAAAAATTTATTTAAACATGTTTGATATTTACCACTTTGCCCTTTTACCCCAATCTTTCGGAGTCCAGTGCAAACACTTAGGGTCAATTCTAATTTTTCTAGTCTCCATTGCCTTCTGATGGCTTTGAATAATTTCCTTACTCAAAGTAATAATATACTGTCCTTTATAATAGTTGATCAAATTTAGGTTCTGAAGGGTGGATATGACGTCTTCTTTTTTTATGCTTGTTAATTCACATATTTCGCTACAAAAAAGATAATGAACTTGCAATATCTTTGATAATATCATTGACTTACTTTATCGTTATTTGCGGTTTTTCATTTTCTCCAACGGGTTTCATGGAAAGTAATATTTCTAAGATAGTTTGTGCCCAGTAACTACGATATGAAAGTAATCCTAAATCTGATAATGGCTTTTCAGGCGAACCAGTTTTACCTTCAAATTTTGACAATTCGTAACCTACAATTAATAATCACAAATTATGTGTTGTAGACTGTGACAATATTTTGGAAATCATAGAAAAAACTGTTATTTGGAGCACTGATTTCCAACTAGAGACATTTAAGTTGACTGCAATTGAAGGATTCATAGGAATTAGCGTTACTTTAAAATTCTGGCATTAGTTTTCTCGAAATGAAGACACGCAATGGACATTTTACTGCCTACTTACTATTTTAGCATTTAAAAGAAAGTAGTGGAAAAAAATTACTATTAACCCCTTCATACCGGTTATGCTTGTGCCAGGGTCTGCCGTATATCCGGACTTGGCGACCTGCTCACTGCGCGTCATCATGACTGTGCACACCTTGGGAACATTGGCCACATTATTATAAAGACCTTTAGAACGAAATAATGCAATAATTTTGCAAATATTCGACACTTGTGTGCATTCAAACCCTACAATACGAATTAAGACAGGAAACGAAACTATCCCTTTACAATGCGCGTGTCTATCATGGATGTTATGTGGTCTTCCTATTGGTCACAGTGGGCGTAATTTATGCCCCTCCAATTATAAGAACTAATATCTGGATGTGACTATATGCCTTTAAAATGATGCAGAACTGATCATCACCATATAACAGCATGATAATAGGTTGGTGCAAATATATGCATCATCCGGCTGTAGCGGATGGTTGTGCATGATGCATGTCTGTGCATCACCGGCGTCAAGGGGTTAATATATTTATATGATTACTAAATTCTGAAAATTAAAGCAAAAACTTTAGGTATCTCACTCTACTCCTTCTGCTGCCTTTATAAAAGGAGTCTAAAGATTATTTGGTGAATAAGAGGTAAAAATGAGCAGTAAAGTTTCAAGGACAAATTACAACATAACTTCAAAGCCAAAGTATCGAGCCACCCAAAAAAAAAACGCCATCTAAATTGGCCGAGTAAAAAAAAGATGTATTTCTATTTTATCTTAAATCTATAACCTTATTTAATTGTCAAAGCTGCCACCTTATATGACAGCCATTATTTATTTTACAATTGTGACAGTCACTTGTCAAAAATTTGACATAACCGAAAAGCCTCGACATGACCGCTATTTGTATATCTCTTGTTCATAGCCGGTTTTGATGACTTTTTTTGTATGCCTCTAAAAGCTTCTATATTAGACATCAATCAGGAATACACACCGACTAAAATTAAATGTTCATGTTTAATGATCATATTTTAAGCATTTGTTTGTAACAAGGTTTAAAACACATTGTTTTCTTGTTATCGAACACAAAAGAGAATAGAAAAAACCACACAAACAAGAGCATATCTGGTAAAGTGTAATTATTAGTGACGGTTGGTGGAAATTGAAATTCTCATATTTTCATAACGGAGCATGAAACCCATTTTATAGTATTGGAAATTATTACAGGACCTAAATAGGAGAATATGATATAAAAAAACTTGTAAGTTGCAATTTGCAACGCAAAAAAGTTGAAAGTTGCAAAAAAAATGTTCAAAAAGTGCCTGTCTCAGACATTTCCAGAAGATCTTGGAAGCGGATTAAAAAATATTTGCAAATTTTTTCATAATCATTTCAAAATTTTAAGATCTGTATGTTATGGTAACATGAATGTTAATTTCATCCCCACATTTTTTTAAATATTGAAATTAAAATCACATCATAGAAATTGACACTCTTCCTGTAGCAATCATTTCGATTGTGTCAGAGGGAAAATACACATGAAAAGACATAGGGCATAACCAAATCCTGTGACAGGTGCCAATTGCCACAAGCGGGATTCGAACCCGCGCCGATATTTGTAGCTCTCGGAGTAATAAAATTGCCATCTTCTTACCTGGCACTTTGCTCACTGAGCCATCGCCGCGGCCTACTTTATTTTTGAAATTTTACAACAGCTATATCTTTAGGCAAAACGAAAATTTTGCAAAAAGCACAAGGATAAAAAGTTTTTATATTCAGTTCGTAATTGTGAAAAATTCATAAACGTTTTTTGCAAACCGTTTCCAAAATCATTTTTTTAAAATTTGTACTCACAAATTTCATTTGAAGTTTTTTTGCTATTGCCCCCTTCTAAAATATGATGTGGGTCCCATGCTTCCTTACAAAAATATGAGACGTTCAAATACTACCATCTGCCACTGCTCCTTATTTATGGTAGACTTACTAAATTCTATAAGTAATTTTCCATATCCTTTTCTCTGGTAGGGAGGCATAGTGAGTATACAAGCAACATTATAATCTTCAGTTGATTCTTTTCTTTGGAGAAATATCCAACTATGTGGAACCCTCTGCTATCAAAAATGGTCATAACATAAAATAAGAAAGGATCAGTATCGTAGTATAATGTTTTATGATCCAGAAATAGTTTAGCAAGTAAACACAAATTCTGTGCATACACTTTATTCTTCCTTCCATCAATTTCAAAGAATGATACGTTATCTTTTCTGTAAATTTCGTTCCCTGGTGGATGCCTCAAATTACATTTCACTAGATGGCGTTCTAAACATTTTCGACTTTTTCTATACTTCAAGCAAAATTCGCAAATGTAAATGCAATCTAAGTTAACCATTTCCTAAAACAGTTTTTATATTTAATGATTATTCTTTCATGTAATATTACCACAGATTTTATAAGCATAAAATAGAGAGTAGGACCAACAAACACCTTGATTGTCATAATTTGTCGTTCTTGTAACCAATAATATGAATAAACTCCTATTACTTCAACCTTGACTTCAACAAACCTGTGGATATGGAGCGAAATACCACGGTTTTATCCTATGTCTTCCCAGTTCTATTAATTCAATATTTTTCATACGTGTTACAATATCGTCATGATGAGAAACCATACTTCCTGACTGTCGTGGCCCAGCAGTTAAAGATGTTGGTCCATCTTGTGAATCCTCATTTTCTAATGGAGGCCCTTTACGCTTTCTATTAATACGTTTCTGTAATGCTGCTGCTAATACTGCATTTCCGTTGAGTAATTCAGAATTATTGACAGGACTTGTGGGTCTGGAGATTCCTCCTCCACTGCCAATCTGAACTTTTTTTAGGCGTTGAAACGCCTGTATTACTTCCTCCATCTTTTCTAGGAAAATGTACTTTTCTAGTATCCAGTGATTCTTCTGTGACCCATTCATCTAATCTTTTGTTAACTAAATAAAGAAAAAAATTATTATTTGCCAGATGACACCAGAAAATGTACTTACAATCAACATAATGGACATAATAACATTTGGCACCATGACCTTCCTTTATGCTGATAATTTCAGCCAGTGCTAAAATAAATATATGTTAGTTACAGCCGTTAAGTTTTCCCAGTAACTTACGCCAATCATTAGTGCCTGTCATATGAACTGGAAGTCTACAACCTTCCACTAAGGATGACTAGAAAAAAATAAATGTTTCTATAAACGTTGTTTTTAATAAAAAGTACCAAGATTATCAATACTATTTATACTACTTACTTATACATATATATTTATTAGACCAACGAAATCTATTATTTGTTTAATTACTTAAGAAATAAACATGCCAAATATCTATATATCATTTCTATTTATATATCACTAAATAAAATCACATAGGTACCGGGACACTCAGGTGTCCCGGGAAATGAGAAGGCCGACAGACTGGCCAGACTAGGATCAATAGGGTACCCCATAGGACCTGAACCTATATTAGGGGTCCCCTATTCAATGGGGGTTTCAACCATGAAAGAGCTCCTAAACAAGGAGTTCGAAAAATCCTGGCAAGAAGCACCGGGTATGAGGCAGGCGAAGGCCCATATTATTGGGCCTTCGTTCAAATTAACTCAAAGTCTCCTAGGTATGAACCGAAGAGACATTAGAACGGTGACAGGACTCCGCCGACAGCCACTGTCACCTTAAAAGGCACCTCCACATGATAAGGGTCATAGATGATCCTGAATGTGGATGGTGCATGGAGGATGAGGAGACTGCATCTCACATCCTCACAGAATGCCCTGCAATTGCAAGGGTCAGAGAACGGCACTTTGGGAGCTGTGTTCTGAACCCAGAGGATGTTAAGAGTATTCACCCCAGGAAAATATGCGCCTTTGCTAGAGAGGTCGGCATACCTGGGTGAACACTCATGGAATGTGGGTGCACAATGGGCCCGTCAGGCGGCCTAAGTGCATGGGTCTTCCCGCCCACTTTTCGTATTCATTCATTCATCACTAAATAAATTAATGAAGAAAAATTGGAAGATGTTGCCCATGTTCTCTATAATGTGCAAGAGCCTGTCACCTAGACATTGTGCATCTCACTTAGGCTGATACATAACAAAGCCCGCCAAAAGAGCCGAAGTGTAACACAGAAGCCACACTAAATGATGGACTCTTGTATTCTATAGAGACCATTAGGAAATGCTGACAATAAATGTACGAAACTTTTGGAGGTGACAAAAATCCATAACTAGAAATGAAATACTACTTGATCCTAAACTTGTAGGGCTTATCTATCCCATTGTTTTTTTTTTTTTTTTAGAAGCGGAATTTTCAGCAGACATACATATATATGATATTTTTCTTGATTTATAAGCACACATATCCTAATTCTGCTTGACAGTACTGCTAACACTTCATTACAGACTGCAGGTAAGCTCTCCTAAGTCAATATCTTAACAAGGTCAATTTTAATACAATATTAACGAATAACTGCAATATGCACTGATTTGAGAGAAAGCAATGTTTGACAAAATGCCTAACAACAAACGCAAGTATTTATTAGCGTTAACCATGATGAAGTGTGATGTTCAGAAGCCTGTTGTAGAAAAAGAGTAACAGTAAAGATTTACAGGAGTTAGATTGACAATGATTAATACAAAGTTCTTATGTACTTTGCTGATTTTAATCCTCTAAAGTATATCAGTTTACATTTTTTTTTATATAAACTCCACAATATTATTATACTATTCAATGTAGGAAGTGTCAACCAGTATGAAAAATGATTAAAATGATGTGTCTATATGTCAAAACTTGTAGTCAATTCAGGGTACGAGGGTACTATTTTTTCTAACTAATTAAAATTAGCATCTTATTAAAAACTCTTTTGTGACATTTTTGTATTAACCCTTGAGTAAGTGCAAACTGTCAATAAAAATGATTAATGATTCATTAGAAATGATGATGACAACTTAACCCTTAAGTGGTAACGTGAAATTTTGGAACAGAACTGGTAACGTGCCGTCTCTGAGACTGCAAATTTTAGCAACAAAAAATAATGAAATCTTTCACAATAATTTTGGAAATTTTTTTCAAGGGTACTAAGGCACCTATTGTCTTTCAACATCTTTGTTTAAAAGTACCTCATAAACTAAAAGAAAAATTTTGTGGTATTAACTGCCAATCAAAATAGAAAAACACAAAATATTGAACATATTTATTTAAATGTCATATAAAAAATAATCACAATATTTAAAGACAAGGTAATGTATTTTACAACAAATAATAAACATAGTGAAGCATATAATGAAAAAAAAACCTTCAAAAACACTTTATCAAAAATGTTCTAGCAAGTGGCAAATCTATTGTTTATCCGCGCAACTATTGCATTTCGGCTTGGAACACTGGAGACATACTGGCTTTTTACATTCCACACACAAATATTTTGTTATTCGATGTGTGGTTTTATGACACAAAAAACATGCATTTCGTTTCTCTAGCACTAAATTTTCAGTTTCCTGTGGTACATTTTCGGCTGGCCTTCCAAGAATGCGGGATATAAGAAAACGTAACTCTCGTGATACACGGGGATTTTGTAGACGCATTTCCATATTTTCTTGAATGAGTTTTGCAGCTAATTTTTTCGCAAAAACAGATTTTTCATTTATTTTTTCATTGTTTTTATAACATTGATGAAATATATAAGAATTTACCACAGACACATCGAGAATTCGAAAGAAAATTGCTAATGGCCACCTTCGGGTACGACGACTTGAAGTACTCTTAGCACATTTTACGTCAAGAGAATCAACTCCTCCTTTATTTGCATTATAGTAGGATATTATCTCTGGTTTTCCCGTTTCTGGATCTGTAGATATCCTATCATGCATTGTCGATAGAAGTATGGTCGCCTTGTTTTTTCTTCCAACATGAGAAATAAGGGTAGACTCTTCGCGAAATCCATACAATGTTGATCCGACTTCCCGGGCCTTTTTGGGCAAAAAGGAAGGCGGGATTTCTCTTTATTTTTTTTTTAACGTCCCTACATATGTAAGCTTATTCTTTAGTAAGATATAATAATAATAATAATAATAATAATAATAATAATAATAATAATAATATGCCTTTATTGAGTAGAGTAAATCATACATTTACAATTTCAAATAGGAAAGTAAAAGGCGAAGTCTAGCCCGAAAGCTACTCAACTTAACCTTTGTAATAGTAAAGTAAATAGGTATTAGTCACAAAGTCAGCTCCAACAACTAGTGTTTGATATGAGATTTAGTACACTCAAAATTTGAAAGAAAAAAAGAAAACCTAGAAATTCATACAACCAAGACAACAAAATTAGATTGTTAAGAAAACAAAAACAAAATTAGAAATTTAGTATGTAACGTGTAAAACAATATATAGAAACACTTATAACCAATAAATAGAAAATACATTCACCAGTACCAAAACAATGGAAAAATGAAATTAAATATTAGTTAAACTACATGCCATTAGAGGATTGCAAATAAATAAAATATTTACATATATATGAGTAACTAAGTTATGTCACTCGTTTGTTGACGAGATAAGAAGTGTTATTGTGAAAGATATCTGCCAATTCCACCGACGAAAACCAGTTATCTGCAGTTACGTTACGGTTAGTTCCAAACAAAGGCTGTGCAAGAC